ACAGGTGAGCCGTAGTCACAGTGGTCTATACTTGTAAATGCCGCAGTGTGTGTAGAAGCGTAGTATCATCCCAAGACTGGTTTTACTGTTTAGGCCGGTGCACCGTGCGTGCAGGCGACATGGGCTGGTAGAGGGCGCTATATATTGACACGAGACGAAATGTCAGAGCCAGTCTTGTAGAATCTGGCAGGCTTACCAGAGAACTTACGTCACGCACGGAAGTCGCCATGATTATATGCGCATACGCATTGCCGAAAGACGCAGTCTGCATGGCGCGCGGTCTTTGGTAGTGTGTCCGCTCTGGCTTGAGCGCGTGAAGTATGCTCGGAATTTTTCGGGCAAGCCTTCCAGACTGCTTTCTGGCAGTTCGCCTCTTGTGAATATAGCGCCCTCTAGTGGTGGTGTTATTCGGCAGCGCTCGTCAGCTTATGTCACCTGCACGGTGCACTGGCTAAAACAGGAAAAAAAGGTCTTGGGGCAAGACTAATGGAGACGCCGCTCCCCGTGTTGCCAACACAGAGTGCAACATAAAGCGCTGAAAATATTTCATGTAAGGGTATTCCTGAAGATATACCCAACATATGTGTCTGCAAAGGACGCTAGTACTAACATACATGATAAAGCCAAAAGCGCATTTTTCAAAAGTGATATTAAGTCATTTTTATGCAACATCGTCCTTTAATGTCCTCAGGAGCCATTACCGACCCTTGATATTATCATAAACTGATTTTTATCGACATCATTAAACCCTACTGAATTCTACACTATTCGAATATCAACTGGACTTTCGGTTAGGTAATGAGGTAATGAACAGCTGCCACAGAATAAAATCACAACGTGAACCAGAGTTTTAAGGTTTAAAACTTTGCAAGATAATGACCACCAGGATGGTCTCTACTTCAGCGCTGGCTTCACCTTTATGAGTTTCACATTCCTGTAAAATCCCGGGGATTTTTTTAGCAGCAGGAGAGGGAATAAATGAATTTTGGCTCCAAAAAAGCTACTGCATATTTGATTGCACAAGATCATAAAAAACAAAATAATTTCATCAGACTTCTCGTGCCCATCACAAAAGCTCGCTGGCGATCAGTGTACAACCCTGAACAATAAGCAAAACTAAGATGAGGAAGGAAACACACGTTTGCCAACGCCAACCTTTGGTTCTGTCCCCATTAAGCAGAAGCACTCCGTCATTGGTTGAAGAGAGCTATGCTGGTGGAAAGTACTCGTTTTGTCAGTATGACGACGCGTATGCTAACCATGCTTCTCATCTATAAGTCGTCCATAAACTAGCGAAGTGGACTTCTCTCCAAAGAAGTCTCTCTTGCTTGGAAAATCGCGCACTCTCTCGATTCCACTCCACGGACGACGGTGCATTGTGGAAGTCACAGTACTTAAAACTGGAGCTCAGATTCTTGGAACGTACCGGGCAGGTCGCGCCTAGTTTGGACGTCCAGTCGTTTAGCTACATGTACGGCTGTGTCTATTAGAAACGTGTGCCCAAGTAACCATTGTGATAATAAAAATACAAGGCTGTATAAACAAGATTTATATGTATGTGGAACGTGGAAGCGCTCATTATTCTGTGCAATCGACGAAGACGTGAGCATATAGGCCTACCATGCAGATGGCTTTTACCGCCAACTGTTTATCAAACAATATTACCAGCACCTATTCGTTCGCGCGATGCATTTAGATCAGTTCTGCTGGATTTCTCTTTCATCTTCTTTCACGGTTCTGCAAACCTGCTTGTCACGTAATAAAATATATGTCTACGTATTACATGCACTGCTCTACGGAGATCACAACACCGAATCTATTTAACAGGAGTGGGTTATCGGATTGGGTTACAGAATACTTTTGCCACGACTCCATTCCTTGCCAGACGAGTAGCTAACTCTTTCACGGCAAAATATCAATATCAGGAATGTGAAAAAAATATATTATCAGATCATACGATATGGTTCACGCTTAAATTGAGCCTTAAGTCGATAATGAATGGAAGTCAGCTTTTTCTCATCAAGAAAAACAACCCTCGAAGTGAACCTTATCTCATCCAACTGAAAACATGGAAAAAAGAGAAAATGTACCTTCTATGATTCGAACTCAATCCAAATCCCAACCCACCACAAAACGCAAAGCTATCAAAATAAATCATAGGTTCGTTCTATGTGGGACCCGATTCCTTAGGGTACCTGTCGCATCCGACATACGCTTTTGTAAGTTTCAAGCACTTTTTTTTTTTGGTGAGGCGATGGAAACACCTTCCAAACAAATCATATGGTATGAAGTCATTTTCAATAATGTTTTTGGGTCAAATAAAGGTCAGGTCTAACAGGGACTCAAAATGCGACACCTGTGGATCCACAATACACAGAAAGAGCCAAAACTTGTGCAAAGGCATTTTTCGGAACGACTCGGTTTTTAATAGCCACGAGTTGTCGGATTGAGTGACGTCGAATCACATTTCCAGCCTTTGTGTTGCACTGCTCCGTTGCATTGCGCTTATACAAATTACCATTTTACATCGATGGCTTTTCATTCTTGTACAAAACGAGAATACAAACAGGATAATGAAGAGGCAAACAATTACAAATAAAGTGTGAAGGTGCGCTTGCAGTTATATTCCTTAATCACCACACACAGAGGGCCCGTTCTCTAACACCACTTCGCTGACAGCAAGGGTCTACTTTTTAATTGCTGGGAATTTGTCATTATTGGAAAAGAAACCAGCCCGCGGTTGTCCCGCCCACAGGGCTGCAATGTTGAAAGGACTTATGCAAGTCTATTTCTGCCTGCGAATAATCCGTCTCATCGATCGAAGCCCGAAAATGCACGACGACCATTTGTCACAGCTTCCAAGGGATAGCGCCAACACACCATGGCAACTGCCTGACTCAGTCAATGGACGGATCATCTCTCACAATGCAAGTACATGTAACCGTAAACTGTCTAATGTGTCTTTGTCACCATCCACACATTGCCGACACATAGGCACACAACCTTTTGGATCTCTTAAGGGCATGGCTCCCTGACCGTTTCGATGGCGGATAAATATAGCAATGCCTATGCCGTTCGGCCGTCAACATTTATGTCCACGATGACAGTTTGCTAGACTAGTATGGGCCGGATGATGCCACCGAGTATAAGTGAAGTTCCGGATTCAGTTGGCCGGATGAGCGCTGGTTATCGACTGCAGTTTTAGGTACGTTACATGAATTGGTCGCTTCCTTTACACATTGCACTGCATGCGGATGAGTTCAGAGAATCTCCCGATTTAAAAATAACCTCAAAGTCATAATGCTGACCTTCATGATTTTTGTCCTATAATTAATCCTACATACGAAACAACTACTGTGAGTTTCCCCGCACATTTTCAAAATGACTTTTTTGTTCAGATTCAGGAACTGCTAACTCTACATCCGTCTGTGAAATTCATGACATCTCACCCCTATGGTTAATTTCGTCTTTAGTGACAATTTTTTGCACTTTATTACGCAGCAGCAATTGAAAGGAACAACTTTATAAATAGGGAGTTGGAACTTCATTTGTTTTTTTTATGCTAAAAATGAGTTGGCCGATTATGAAAACCAAAAAAAATTGTTATTTTTACATCACTGCAAACAGGCGATGTAGTTTTATTCTTAGGATTGACTACTTAGCCTTCAATTTCTTGTCTTGCACTTCACCTTGCAAAACACGTCTGTGCATAGTTATATGCCATCCAACGGATTCGATCGAAACATTGGAATCTGTCAAAGACTAATTCAATCCGTACATACTTAACACGATCATCGGCTGTAACGATTGCCATTGAAATCTGAAGAAATCAAAAGAACACATTTTGAAAAAAATATATCCCTGATCATCTTGATTTACCAACAACTAGCATATCTTCTGGCGACGAATTCGAAATTAACCAATTCTGAATCTGAACGAAACAAGTTTGAACATGTGCTGGAAACCAGTTTTCAGTTTTTACAGTTGAAAATGATGGAAGTTATGTCTTGAAAGCCTGAAAGTTAAAAGATTAAACCTTGCAGCTTTATGCCATAACAAGATGACAATCTCCCCCAAACAAAAGCTTAGTATAAAAGGGGGAGCCAATAATTTACATTTTGCATGCACACTTTTTTGATTTTCAGGGATGTTTTTCGATAGCTTTAATAGAATGCGCTGTACACCATTTCATTGTTATAAATCTGAAAAAAGCTAACACGAGGAGTTCCATTAATCATTCTACCAGAGAGACATGCCAAGTTAATTTCGGGCAGAATGTGTGCTCATCAAAGACACCAAACAGATGGAAAGTCGCTGTACCGCATATCGATGACTTGGAACACGTAGTCACTGACCTGACAGCTAGTCTTTGACTTGATGGTCAGAGCAAATATTGGCAAAATCGTGTTCAAACATTCAGACCAAGTTGATGTTAATGTATACATATATACATATGCCAGTCTCTGTGTATTTGGAGTTCAGGCGGATTTGTTTGGATTACGTCTGCGCTAACTAAATGATTCCCTTCTGTAAACACTTGACGGTGGTTGTTGCTGATCTTGTTCCCCAGAATTCGTGTGGCACAAACTCAGCATGGCGATATCGGACAAACTGAAGAAAGGATCGACCAGCGATTTCCCCAGTGGCTTCGACCGATGGCTGGCTTTGCAGAGCGTCAGCGACAAGATTCTACGGCGAGCCAGCACGCTGAATGCCATGGAGAAGCTTCGCCTGGAACGGGCCACCAAGCAAATCGAATTCAAAATACAGCTCCGGGAGAGCCACTACGATACAGTCAACCAGCGGCTGAAGGAAACCCTAAAGGACCACGATTTGTACAAGAGGGCCCTCTTGAGAAATGCAGAACCTTTCCGAGACAATCACCCGATCCCACCAACTGCCGAGATGAAGCCGTTTGGGCGATACCAAGGACAGTACCACTCTAAGATGGGGAAGGCAATGCAAAAAGAGGAGGACGAAATCGCGCAGAGGAGACTACGCAAGAGGAACAAGCTCCTTGAAAAGGCAAAACAAGAGAGCGAGACTCTGATTGACCCAAAACTGACGACCGAGCAACTTCTGTCTAATAAGGACAAGCCTCTCTCGGAGAGATTCAAGCGGAGTGCGGGCATGCGCTTGGCGACACTGCGCGCCCAGACCAATGCACTGAACGCATTCATGAAAGTCAAACGCGATATAAACATTAAAAAAGAGGCCAGAAAGCACGGGAAAACCGGCCTGTTCAAAGGTGTGTTTCAAACAGAAGACCCCAGATAAAAATCAAAACGGTAAAGTTCGAAATTTTCAACTCTGCAAGTAATGCGGCGATGACAATCATGTCTATTTTAATTAATGCAGAATGGCTATTATATCTAACACACAAACAGAAACACAGATTGGCTTAATAATTAACGAATCAGACGGTTTGAATATCAACCGGGTTTGCCAATGATTCCTGTATATAACCTGCACAAATTATATTGTGGGTAATGATAATGTGGGTAAATATGGAATTGCAATTTCAATATACAGTTGAACCTCATTAATAATAGGTCCTTTGGACTTTGCCAGTTACCTTGTTAAAACAGAAACCTTGTATTACTGAATGAAAAAGCGAAGGATTTGGACCAAAAAATTTCACTGCCATTAACAGAACGTTGTATTAAAAGTGCTGTGTTCTTATTAACGAAGTTCAACTGTATATAAAACTCACAACTAAAAAGTGACGAAATAACGTTCTGTAGATAGTCCATTTGCTTCCTGGTAAAACATTTGAAATGCACTGCTTGTCTTTATCACGTGTGTAAGACAAAGAAGTCTTGTTACAGAAACAAAACAAAAATAAAACAAAACAAAAAATGGGGAAATATTGCCGGTTATTTCAATCTCACATGCTGCCACAGTATTGGTTTTAATGGCATTTTCAAGAAAGAAATGAAGCTAATTTTTTTTTACAAATTGTGACAAGTCTTTGAAACCGATACTGCTCAAATCAAGTAACGACGGCACAACAGGTGTGTTAAAATGAACCTGTTTACAACAAAAGTAACTGGCAATGAATAAAATACCTCAGTACAGTTTTCAAAAGGTGGAAAACTTTAGCACTACTGGAATACCATCACTGTATAAAGGATGATGAATGTGGTCGATGCATGTTCTGGTATAAATCTCATGCCTGCCAACATTTTTGTCCAGTTAAAACCATTTTTACGGTCCTCGTTTTACTTTTACCAGCGACCCAACTTTCTTTTTCAAATCACCAGCCTCCATCAGCCGCTCGGCTTCTTCCCCAGGTCACACTACCGTGTACATTTACATCTTACATGAAGCGACGGGTGTTGACATTGTCCCCATGATTAGTAATGTCTATGATTTGTCACGATCTCTATTCGAGTAGTTTTCTAATTGAAAGTTTGGGACCAAACATGATACCGCCCACACATGCCCTCTCAAGAATGTGAGGAAGGCCCCACACAGAGTCTATGTTACAATACGTGTACTCTTCATAGTTTGGAGAGCTACGAGGAGGACACACTTTTCCAACGTAATTGATACATTTAGGGGATCGGATAGAATCTTAATGAAGAGGATGAGACAGAGAAATGATATCATTTCAGGATAAGAAATGAGTTAAAACGCCGAGTAAGCGGCAGACACAGGAAGTAAGATTAAATATATATGAAGGAAGATAGGGGGTAATGGAGAGGGGAAAACGAATTTTTGCAACACATAAGAAAAGCGATCAGCAATTTCAGCAAATATATCGAAGACGATGTGGGAATGGTGCTGTCTTTAGTATCATGATTAAGCTAATCTTCACTTTTAAGGGGGTACAAATTTTAACTGTATACACTAGCAATCAAGATTTCAATTCATGACTACCCTTGCTCATCGAGCCTAGAGACAATGCTATAATCAGTCCAGCTACCCAGCAGGAGGCATAAAGCTCGATATTGCCATTTTAGGCAGATAGAAGTGGCCAATTCATTCCCAAAAGACTGGGGGATTACCCAGTAGTAAGAAAGTGCCATTACAGGTAAATGTGAGCATCTACAGTGTTGATTCAACTGCCACTAACAAAAAAGTTTTGGAAGGACAAGATAGGCAAAGTCATCTTGACAGGAAAGGCTTGAGGCAGCTACAGAGACAAAGACAGAAAAGGTATGTTGAGGGCTTCGTTTAGCATGAATGACAGCAGTCTACTGAAACCAAACGCCTGTAAGCCAATGCAAAGAAAAAAGAAGTATTTATTGAAACAGTGCTGGCACACAGAGGCGACTGGAGAGTGGTGGGCAGGCCTGTCTACAAGATGAATATGTGCAGCAAGGGGAAAGAGTGGACATCTACACATAGAAAAAGAGCTATGAACAAGCAAATGTAGAATAAATACCCTTTGGGAACATCTCATAATTCCGACTGGTTAAAATGTTTTGTTCTCATCACACAACAGTCGGACATGGCACTGGGAACACTGCCCAGAGCAGGTTATGCACAAAGTGGACCGTTCCCACTGATGGGTGAATGCTGCTTTTTCCAGTGAGAACGGTCCAACAGAAATGAATACTTCCGAGATGCTCCCTTAGAGTGTCAAGGGTATAAGTAAAGTAATGTGGTGGAGGAGGTATAGAGACAAAAAGAACGGAGAGGTGCTCTGTCAATGAACTCTATGCTATCGAGAGGAAAGATACATGTAGATTGATCTATAGATGGAGGGCAGGGTTAGCTTTCAGGGAGGGTAAAAGTTAACTAGAATGACTGCATGTATATACATGTTGACTACAGGTAAATGTCAGACGCAAAAGCTACAGTGAAAGTCTTGGAGAAATGGTAATTTGATAAAAGAGAGATGACATGTCTCTCAACTTCTAACAAACCCAATTTATGAGGTGAGGGAGACAAGTCAAAGTGTTACACTCTTAAAAGTGCATCACCGCAGTCGACAACAATTACATCAGGGCTATGATTATAGACACGAAAGCCCAAATGACAAGTCTGGATGACATCATCCCTGCCTGCCCAGCTTCGGCCTCCCCCAGCTGGTTGTCAACTGTTGGCCAGAAAGAGATGAAAAGGGGGTATCGGTGACAACTGTACAACAGGGCAGAATTTTTGCCAATTTCTTATCAAATTAATAGGCTTTCATTCGTTCAGATCGCTAGCAAAATTCGGAGCCCTCTCCAGGTAACACTCATGGCCCAGGTTGCATTGCACTGCAGAAGCTTCCCTGTGTTTTGAATATCAATTCTGCCACGGGGACCAACTCAGCAGAGGCACAGACACACTTGAATTTTCTTTAGTACCATCACAATCCAGAACCAAATCGGTGCGTTATGAATTGGTCAATAATAAACCTCATTCTTGAGTCGTCGGCCTTATGGAAATTGAAAGCAAAGTTCACTTTTCATATAACTTGGCCTTGAGGGCATTAACAAGGAGTAAAAAGAAATTTCCTGACAACTTACTATTTGTCAACTCTGCTGAATAAATTGAAATTTAGCTGGAAACGCATTTTAATGGTGTTTTATGAAAGCATTAAATAAAAAAGGATAGGGAAGTTTGGAAACCAAATGCTCTAAAATAGTCTGATACCATTCTGTTCAGCGGTTAAAAATTTAGAGCACAAATATGAGGAACAAGATCAGAAAATTGCCTATTCAGGAATAAAGTCCATTTGAAGAGCATGTTGAGTATTTTAATCGAGGGGGAGGCAATTTCAAATTGTTACTTTCTCAATGCACAGCAGCAGTGGTGGTGGAACTCAGTGCACTTTGACATAATCTTAAAATATCTTGTATATTGGACATGCATACAATGTACACGTACATGTACGTCAACTACATGCATTTGCCATGTTTTGTTCATGATTATCGGTATTCTGTCTTTATCAACTTGGTTTCGGGAGTTAGTTTGTTGGCCTGTCTGCATGCCTGCTGATGTTTTGTTGGCCCCTCTGGAGTCTGCTGCTGGTTTGTTTACTTGGTTCATTTGTGAACACTGTTGGTCCAACTTCATTTCTGTCTTCTGATGTTCTCATCAGTTCATTTAATGGTTGTGTTGTTTGTTGTCAATGCTTTGTCTAATTGTTGTACTATTTTAGCTGCTGTTTAAAAATATATTTTGGTTATATGAATATTGGTATATGAATGCATTACACTTTTTCAGTTGAAAGTTATATTCTTCAATGTTTGTTCTCATGAGTAATTTAAAGTTAATTTTATTCAAACCAATTTTAAATTGATTTTTGTAAAGGAGCGTCTCAAAACTTGGGAGCGTTCCCGTTCCGTTGAACCGTTCCCGTTCAAAATGGACCGTTCCCACTGGAACACCGGCGTTCCATCGGAACGTGCCCACATCACAGGCACGTTCCAGACCGTTCCAGGCAGCGTTCCGTAGGGAACGCGTGTTCCCAGTGGAACAGTCCTGCAGTTACATTCGCTATCGGGAACAAAGATTTTTGGCATTCATTTCCTAGACCGTGTCTCATGAAGGACGGCAGCAGCACAGCATTTTGTGATTTACTCCTCATGGACGTTAACTTTTCTCCCGTTTTTCTTGTCCATGTTCACCATGGTATAGCTTACCACTCAATGACTTTAGAGTATATCTGGACACCGTTAATTTTATAGTGTTCATGTTAACGTCTGTACTTATGAGTGTTTTATTCATTGTCGGGTTTGCGGATAGAGGGCATTATCATGGCGATGTTTCTACACATATGTATACCATCGTATCAGTAACAAAATAAAAAACTAACCTGTAATTGAAGGGGTGTACGGGGTGAGGTCTTCAAATATTACGGAAAAGGTTGAACGACATGACTAAGGCAATTAAACTCGACGTTGGTTTGCAGCCTTTAGCCCAGTGATGCACACACCAAAACATACATATACTCTGTATGAAGTCACCACGTGGTGATTTTTCACTTTTGTATCTCAGTTAAAAACAAAACTTCCATCATCACATTAACAAATTTTGCCACATCACATTTCCATCTTAGGTTTGCTTACAATTCTTATTCAAAATTAGGCAAAAGCAAAATGGTTTACCTGCGCTCGTTTGTTATGGCAGGCTCTGCTTTGGGACATTGGCAAAGATTTGTACATGGTCGATATGAAGCTACTCGAATGAGGACATTCAGATGGGCTCGCGTGTTCCTGTCAGACCGTTCTCACAAAGGAACACAGTGTTCCATGAGGAACGTCGCATTGCATTCCCAACGGAACGGTCAACCGTTCCAAAATGAGAACAGGGCATTCCAATGGGAACATTCCGACCGTTCCGAATTTTGAGACGCTCCCTAAAACTCCTCTTTAATTCAGCGCTTGGGCTGCTACTTTCAGTGTTAATGTTAAAACCTGCCATACAAATAATAACAGTAAAACCAGTATGCAAACTCTGTGCATCCCGGCTCACCTTAGCAATACATCCAAACAGAACAAGCTGCATTACTAAAGTAAACTTCTATTCACAGAGACACAGAGAATGATAAGACTTCAGAAAAGCTCCCAACCAAAACAAATAGTAAAATTAAAAGAAACAAAAGCCTAGGACAAAGAATGAATTTGTCTTACCTTCCTCTGGTTTGGCGCAGGCGTGTCCACAGCCATTATGGCAGCATTTTAAGATATCATCACAGTCTGTGTCGTACTTGCATTCATTTGCGCATGTGTAGGAGTCGTCAAAATCATTAATCACTACAGGACACGTTCCCGGTTTCACATCTGCAAGCGAGACAGCCAGGATGTAGAGGGTATAATTAAGTACACATGAAAGATGGCAATGCTGGAGTTGCAAGACAGACTTATGCATGCATCATTGGCCAAACCTTGACTTTATCAAAAACTTCAGCTTCCAGTTCCAGCTTCAAACTACGGTAGGTCCCTTGACGTGACTTGAAGAAAAAAAAAAGACTTTTGACTACCTGTGACTTGACTGACATAAATTTGACTTGACTGACATTACCAATATTTGTTCAAATAAATGAAAATGGCATCTACGACTTCCAATGTAATATTTAAAGCAAATCTGTTTTTCATTCAACGGATGACTTATCGCTAGAAATATCACCATATATGAAAAGAAACTGGGCAAACAGAGCAGAAAAGAGTCATGGGTTACTTTGTTAAATCAAGTATGTCACAAAACATTTACAAGAAACAAGTAAAGGTTCCTACAAAATATGAAAACCAAATGCCAGGACTAATTTAGGACATTTCCATTACATTTAAGGGTATTATGTAGAGGAAGTTTGTTTGGTATTGTGAACTGAAGGACTACTGTTTTTTTATTACCACATCAAAAGTGGCCTATCAAAAATTAAACCCTTGCATGACTTGACACCCATGAGTTTTCCATGAAGACTTTGTCCTCTGACAACAGGGATGCTAGGCCATGTTTTTTCCTGATTTTCCATAACTTTCCAGGAAAACTATTTTCCATGTCCATGGGAGCCCCGCATGTATATAATAACATACAATGGGCTTGACAAAGTGACTTGGGACTCGCTTGAAAAAAAATGACTTGTGACGTAACTTGAGGAAATTAGCACCCTGCAATCTGTAGGATATGCACGCTGTAAACACATTGACGGTTTAATGGGCATGCCGTACCTTTTGTAGGTTCAACGCAGGCATGACCGCAACTATTGGAGCAGCATTTCAGATCCTTGACACAGTCAGCGTCCGTAGTGCAGTTGTTGACACAAACGCCCACAACGTCACTGGCAATAACAGCTGGGCAGCCTCCAGGCTTGAGAACTACGGATCGGTTCACAGATATCAAGTGTTGATCTTGGCTTGTGTATTTCATCACAAGGTGCCAGCGGTTAGTAAGCAGTAATTCCTCAAGAGAAAACTGAAACTACTGACACTGAAAAGGAAACACTGGAAGGGGCAGAATTCTGTGGATCACCATCAGAAAATGACATATTATACTCAACTATTAACTAAATTTGTTTTTTAAATTATCGGTTGAAATATGAAGAGCGGAAGTGAAACCTGAACTTTGTGAATAATATGTTAGCAATCTGCTAACTGGACACCAAATCGTACAGTTGACAGCACTTCAAACTACTGATTTCAAAGAGATACCTACATGTATTCAGTTTTCATCAGCTTTTTATATTAGTGTAGGGGGTGAGTGACCTCCCATGGGGGGTGACAAGCGGGGCACTGGACATTGTTTGACACATTAGGGTGCTGTTCAAAAACTTGTGTAATACCATAGAGATCATAAGCAAATGTGTGATCTCGTAAACCCTCCATTTGAAAGAACTTTAGCCATGTACATTTTGGGGGTTGAAATATGTGCTTATTTGTTGAAAAGCTTTGTAAACTACCGTGTGCGAACCAGAAAAAAATTGCGCTTAATAGCAAACAACTGAAAAGTATCCAAAAACATCAAATTCATGTATTAGAAAACAAAATACATAGAGGAAGAAGGAAATGAAATATTGTGAACTTCATGTGGAATTTCAGCAGCTTCTTTTTCACATCATATCGTGTTTTTCAATGTATGAAAAAGTACATGTAGAGCACAAACTATTTTCGCGACCGCACATTTTTGCGACCGACTGAGATTTTGTGTGGTATTCTGGCTCACGATACCTATGCACATTGGGGTCAACACATTGCTGCAAGGCGGGGGGGGGAACCAGTCTCCTTCATATCACACAGCACGCACAACACATGGTTTCAGTTTCTCCACTGCGAAGTTTGTCCATGACTCGTCTAGTGCGTGATAGAGGCATCTATTTATGACACTGTGCCGAATGCACCGTCGTGGTGGGTGCGACTTTTGTTCCTGGTTTTTGATGCACTTTGCCCAAGCATTTTTTGTGTCTTTTTGTACATTTCCATGGCTGCGGGTTGTAATTTTTACCCACACTCAAGTTTCTGGAGAAATTTGCTGCAAAAAAGAGTTATCTTCCAGGTCAGACGTTAAACGTCAGAGGGAGTTCAGCGTCACGGCCAAAAATTTTAGCGTTGCCCCCACGCTATAATGCCCTGGCGAGAACACTGCTATTTATATAACACACATTCTTCTTTTTCCTATGAAAGTGCAACATGTTTTAATGACAGTCAACCAGAAATACATGTATTACATGTGTTGTAGTCAAGATCTCCCAACAGGACCATCTCAAGACCAACACAAGACCTTCAGTCTGAATTCAAGTCACAAGTTATTAAAATGAACTGCAAAAAAGTATTCCTTTGTCACTATTTTTCATGCTACTTATGACTGGTCTTCTCCATGATCTTGTATCTGGTCTTCCAATGGTGTTGATAATCTCAATTACGAAACTGGATGAATTGACTGAATTTTCCCCAGTTTCATAGTTGCAGAAATTTGCGTTGGGCAACTATTTACATGTGATAAAGTGTGACCAGCCCTTCCTCACATTTTCCAGCCTCACTCGGTTACACTGGCCCCTTCTTTTTACACAGTCATATGGGAGAAATTATCAAGGGACAACATGAGCAGTTTAAGCACCGAATACATGTATTCTTACATCCATTTCATTGAATATCTAGAAATTCTTCGGAAAAAAAACAAGGAGGCTGGGGATTAAGAAATGTAAGACTGGATCACAAGCAGCATCATTGAAAAGGAACCTGGGTCATTTTTTTCTCCTTCACCATGCAACTTAGGTGTGTGAAAAATTTGTGATTTTGTGGAACTCCAGATTTTCCTGAATGGTTACGTTTGAATAAAACATCTCATTCAACTCAGAATAACGTACTTCCAGCTCAAAAATGATCAAATATTCATCATTCAGCAGACTATTGACAAGTTTGTCAGTCCAGTTCAGGTTTCTTTTCTGGTCATATGTTGCTTGGCCCAAGATGGACACTTTACCTGTCTGCTGAACTGCCTCCATGCATGTGTGACCGCAGCCATTGGAACAACACTTCTGATTGGCTGAGCATTCCCCGTCGTGCAAACAGAATTCACCACACAGACCAATCACATCATCCATTGCTGGACACTCACCAGCATGGTAGACTTTTTGCGTCAGGTAAAAATAGGGAAAAGGACTTCAAGACAATCTCCTAATACAATGAACTTGAGGAACTTTAATTTTGCAAATTTCTGTTATTACATTTTTTGTACCTGTAACACTGACATTTTTTTCGATAATATACAGTATTATGAGATTGATTATTATTGCCGCTATGAATTCACTGCATGAAGTGTAACACTATCAAGCATGTAGGCAGAATGTCTTGTCTCTTAAGAAATAGGGACAGTTTACTTACAGGAAAGAAGTAACCAACATGTGGCAATTAAGTTTTGAGTGTAAGAATGCATGTATGTGAAACTCCTGTGTTTAGAAAGAGTCAAGAAGGTCTGTGCCAGGTATAACTAGGGTATCTGGGTAACCACCCATCAATATCAACAACAGGTTTCCCCTTTTTCGGGTCGGGTACCCATGAAAAAATTTCAATATATAAAAGTGTATATGAACTCAATAGTGAAGGGGAGAATTGACGAAAAATCACGATGCCCCTGGAAAACCTAGACCGGCATTCATAACTGCAGTTCAGAGATCAATTGAGCTACTTTTGTTACAGATTGATGATAACATTTTTGTTTAATAAAATGATTGGAGAGATTCCCCTCAATCGTTTAGAACAATGTGCTGCTTCGTAGCTATCTATGAAAAAAGAGCACTTTTTCAGGCACATGTCAACCTGGATTGGGCACAAGGCTCATTGTTAAGTAATCTTATCTTGGATGCCCGGTATTGACATAAAACGGGTACCTGGTTCCAATAAAATCTGGAAGCGCACACCCCTAGAGGGAGGCCTCACCTGGTTGGCGGCAGGAACAAATGTCGCAACCGGTTGCAGCATCCTTCTCAAAGCCATAATCACAGAACATGTTACATGTTATTGGTAGGCAAACATCTGAATTAAAAAAAATATGCAACCAAAACAAAACCGACTTCATTGGATTTCAGAACCGAAGACAGTGATGCAGTGGGGGATCTAATGGGCAAACACAGTGTGTAGGGATGGCCAATTTGTAACTGAATGTGCACAAATATGTAGTGTCTTCGCTTGACAGGAATGTTCCTTGCCAGTGATGCACAGTGTCCAATGCCAACAGGCTATAGTGCTTAACATTTTCAGCACTCTCCAAGTAAACAGTGTGCCCATTTTACTTCATCCATAATCTGGGTTGATTTGAAGGGTGCCCTCAACGACAAAGAAAAGACAAGTTGGTGGGGATTTTTTCAACTGGGCTTCCAGCACACGCAAAGTCGGTAGGATTTAAATAGAAGAGATGGTCGTGCCTACTCAGCGCGTCCTGTGCCCAACACGCATGAACCTGTATGAGAATGCAGCCAGTTCCTCCCAAAGGACCGTCCCTGCAAAGTAACTGAACACAAACTCTCTCTTGTTGCCAACCAAAGTGGACGGGAGCAATAGAACGTACCTGGGTCTCCTTTGCACTGGCACGTGTCACATCCGTTTTCATCAACAACAGCTCCGTCCTCGCAGAATCGTTGGCACAAGACAGGCGGACAAGTCACTGAAACAGGAAAACAACGGCACATTTTTGTATTAGTTGGACACGCACTGCATAAACTCGACAGTGAATGCTGTTTACATCATTCTGTTGCAGTACTAGTGGTCAATTTTTCTGATTCTGGTGAAGCACCAGAAACAATCTGGTTCACATGCACTATGTTACAAGGTTTGAGCCCTTTCAAAGGATCAGGCTTTTTTGTTGTTCCCGGGCAGGGCATTTTACAAAAACGACTTCACTCTATCCCGGAGTACTGAAGTATAATTGTGCCAGTGATCTACGATTCCTTTGGGCTACCTCCTTTCATGATGGATTGATGACCAATGATAATCTTCTCGAAATGTTTGCTCCATTTTGAGAGTCTCTGCATAGAGAACTGCAGGTGAATGCCGAGCACGCTCGTGACACACTGTTCCAACTTGATCAGAGTAGTTCAAACCGATACTTCCAGTGTACAGAACTGAGCAGAAGGTGGATTGAACCTGCCTTTGATTTTTAAACAAATTTCTAACAGGTTATTTGCAGAAATTCTAACCTGGTTCAATGTTACAAGAGCACACGTCACAGCCGTCATCATCTTTCTGAAAGCCATGGGCACAGAACATCATACATAGGACTTCAGCACAGACGACTGCAGAGAAAAGCAATGCATACTCAAGGTTTGAATTGCACAAATCCTTTTGCAAAACTACAGTGAGAAGTTTGAAAACATTAATCTTTCACCTGTAGTTAAAGATAAAGCAAGCCATAATACATACATGAACTTGGTAGGCCAAGTAGGATTTTAAAGAATGGAAATTTGTCAACATTCGAATAGAAAGGAGAAAATTGATGACAAATGAAGCGGCTTGGGAAAAATTTGAACACCACTCGCACCATATACCTGCCTACCTATTGGAATGTTCTAAGTTATTTTGCACGAAAAGATGCTTTATTGACAAGTATACAATAAGCAAAGTACCGCTGTTATGACCATGTAGGCGTACCAACTGTAATGGTGGCCAATGTTCAGTGAATCATGATACCACACCGCAGTACCAAGTATTTTGACTAAAACTTATTTAGGGAGTTCTAGTTCTCAGAGCACAGGGGTGTGTTCACTGTGGACTTTTAGAACTACATCTGCATGTTTTATCTGAAGTGATGACGATTGGCAAAGACCCAGACCTAGACCTAGCTCTAGAGGTAGGACTGAGAAGCAGTGACAGGAATCTCCATCATGAAATTTGCTAGCGCTGCAAATGACAACAAACCTGGGACGTCGACTGCTTTCAGGCACTGCTGCCCGCAGCCGTTGGAGCAACACTTCATGTCCGAGTCGCAGTCCTCATCCCCATCACACAGATCCACGCACACCCCCACAGACAACTCCTCAGCCAAGGACCCCAGGGGACAGGATCCAGGATGTACAACTGTCACATAAAATCCAGAGCCGACTTTTATTCAAAATTTGTCATAGGGCAGGTTCCACTGGAATTATACGTAAAATTCATCTTAAAACGTAGAAAGGTATCATCAGGTTTAAGGTGAGATTGACTATCAACATAATCAAGCAAGAACTTCAAAAAAGGTTACACAAGCCATTAACCTTATTCATCTTGGGAACCTATGAGAGAAATTTCATAACAGATTAATTTCGATTACAGTGATGAATTATCTACAATATGTAATTTATAATATCTAAATGTTTTAACCAGCCACGCCCCCCACATAACACCGTAACTCCATGTGGTGATAGATAGTCACCAGGTCAGTTCTTGGTCATGCCTGAACCTGTACGACTGCTTTATGGTAGCTAATACATCCCTCACATTTCATCTCTAACTACATTTTCATTAGCTGCTGTGGAAGTACATGTACAAGTTATACCAGTCACAACCCCAACAGCCGTGACCTCTCAGCAATCTGTAAACACTGAGATCGAGTTTCTGACAGTGACCATATGGGCGCCTTGGGATACTGATCTTTCAACAGGCCATGCTCTGGAGTGGTTATGGGTCATTATAGGGACTTGGCAGTCTTAAAGCACATTGATAGCTTGAGAATTACATAAAATTCAGCTTAATAATTCAACCAAAAAAATAAAAGTTATTCGAAAAATATGGAAATGTGGTGACATGCAAACAACATTTAAATAACATTTTAAAAAATCACAGATTGGCATGGAACTCAAAGGAGTCTGGCACCACCCATTTAGAACAGATTAATAAGGAATTAATAAAGAAATAAGGAACATGATAAAGATATGGCTTTCGTGCGAGTAATGTCAATTATTTTAATTATACTATTGACAGCATATATCAGCACCCTATCCCATGAACCCAAAAGTGGATAAGAACTTGAAAGGTGTCATGCTTTACCCGGAATGTTGACAGCATCCATGCACATGTGACCGCAGCTGTTGGAGCAGCACTTCTGATGCGGCTCACAGTTGCCGTCGGACGTGCATAGATCAGTGCAAATGCCGAAACCTCCGCTGCTGGTTGGACATTCACCAACATGCAACACTGTGAAAAAGGGGGGAAAACAGAGAGGTGAGCAGGAGGCCAGGATAAACTTGTCTATCCGTTTCTGGGTTTTCATCACGTGTGCAGCCGGAATGCAATGTCTGTAATGATGATACTCAAACACTTGCTGGTGGGATGTAATAAATAACGCATTACCTACAGAAATGGAAATATTCACTCGTTCATCAAAAGGTTATTCGATGCCAGTTTCAGGTGGGGTTAAGATAGTTGGGGGCTGGAAATATTTTAAGTGTGGGCTTGTGAATGTAAGATTCTCTGAGAGAATATTGAAAATGGAGCAGTAAGTAATACGCTAGAAAAGGTATCTTTGTTATGCATTTCAGCTAAAGATGTTATGCCAAGGTTCTTTGGTTTCATCATTTAAAAGCCTCGGGATTTAGTCAACTTCCAATACCTGTTACATGAGGCCTACCTGGAGGGTCGTTGCAAATGCAAACATCACAGCCGTTGTCATCTCTCTTGAACCCATAGTCACAGAATATGCTGCACATTACATCGCCACAGGTATCTACAGCATGAACAATATTCAGCATATTTCCATCTCAATATCCACAGACGTGAGATGCCAAAATGTAGACCACTCAATTAAGGGGGGCCAGCAAAAGTGTGTGGGCAATGTCTTTGGCAATCAAATGATGAGGAAAAGTGTGCAAACAATTTCCGACACAATGTGCACAATCATCTTCACTTGACAGGGATGCACACAGAATTCCAGCATCCTTCAGTATGACATGACTACTTCACATTTCACCCCTGGAGGTGGACTTATAGATGCTCTGAGCCTATAAATCCAGCAATATATGCAAGAACAATTTATGTTCGAGATTATCTTCTTTAAGTTTGATCCAAGCAGTTGCTTGTTTCAAATGGACGGTCAACAAGTCAGGTATAGTGCCACCAACACACACTTTGCACGGGAGGTTTATACATGCAGTTATGGCCCACAGCTATTTTTTCTACAACATGATGTCCACAATTTTCTCCCAACCTAATCTTTACTGAACATGGTCTCCGAATCCCTCCATTCCATTCATTTGTGAGGAATTCATCAACTCACCTGGTGCTCTGAAGCTGGTCATGCAGACCAGGCCGCAGCCATTGGAGCAACACTTTTGATTGTCGGAGCACTCGCTATCATCTTGACACATGTCAACGCAGATGCCGTTGACGCCTTCTGGCAGAGAGCCTACAGGACACACCCCTGGCCGCACCACTTTGTGGAAATACAACAAGCATCAAAAGGTAATTGCGGAGGCAGGATTCGAACTTATAACCCCTGGAATGCTGTAACCAGTACCTTATCGACTGAGCTAGGATTTGAACCCACAATTATCTGCTTACAAGTGCAGCAGTCCCCATAACTTCATCACTGAGGCTAAATCCACTGCTCAGTGGATTTGTACCAGGTTGCTTGATAAGGCCATGCAGCCACCTCATCAGTCCTCAGGTTGTTGATACATGTAAACATGCCAATAAAAGAAGGTTGTTTAAGTCCGACCTCAGCGAGTTGATTTTTTTCCCACAATCTTTCAGATAGCATTGTGCTACTTACCACATAAAACAATTAAAAAAAACCATACCCCACACTGCATAACCCACTGCAGTACATTCTGTGAAGAATTGAATCCTTTCATCAAACTGCCTGAAACTAAAATTATCCTGCCTGTTACGCCCTGCACCCCCTGAAATCACCTGGCTGTTTGGCTGTTACCCCCTGTACCCCCTGAAATCACCTGGCTGTTACCCCCTGTACCCCCTGAAATCACCTGGCTGTT